ATTACCTGTATCCTGAGATTATAGCTTTACCCTGAGATTACCTGTATTTTGAGATTACAGTTTTAACCAGAAGGTGAATGCTGAGGGACTGAAGCTGAACTGAGCTGTTAAAATTAAACCAGTATAAACCAGCTAAAACCAGTAGAGCCGTAATTAAAGGTTAAAATGAGCTAACCTGTAGCTACAAGTTAAAATCAACAAAACTATAGCCACAAGCTAAAATGAGTACAACCGTTGCTAAAAGCTAAAATATAGAGCTAAAATAGAAAAGTTAAGGCTAGTTGAACCATTGCTAAAAACTATCATCAAATGCTATTAAAAAGCTAAACATTAACAGCTAAAACTAGCAAAGCATTAACTAAAAGCTAACAAAAACAAAATACCAAAGGCCAAATGAAGCTAAAAGTAGCAGAACAGTAGCTAAAAGCTAAAAGTAGCATAAGAAGAAAAAGAGAACAAAGTTTTTGAAGGAAGTGAAAAGATCTTAGTACATAAATATATTTAAGAAAAAAAAGTAAAAAAATAAAAAAGTCACAGCAGCCGTCTTCTGAACGAGCCGAACATGTTGATGTAAAAACAGCTAAAACAGCACAAAGCAGCTGAACTGTAAAACATTTAAAGACTACATTAATGCTGACTCAGCGTTCAGACAAGACGTCCCGTTGAAGTTTCACATGAAGCCAAGTCAAGCTGCAGCCGGAGGTTGTGATTGGCCGACAGGCCGTCACATGTTCAGGATAATAAACGTGAGATCAAAGGAGAACGCTCTTTACTTCCTGTGAACTGACGACACATCTGGAGTTTCAGCTGCGGAGCCAGAACTGCTCTCAGGTCAGAGAAACATCGACGATGAGTTCACTGACTCACATTCCACTTCAGCCACGAGTTGTTTAGAGCCACAGCCGAAGGTCAGAAAACACTTCAGCTTGAAGAGGTTTGATCAGTTATTGATTATAGATCATCAGCTGTTTTTATCCGTTACTGATTACAGATCATCATCGGTTTTTATCAGTCATTACAGATCATCAGCTGTTTTGATCAGTTATTGGTTATTGATCATCAGCTGTTTTGATTGGTTACTGATAAAAGGTCATTCGGCTGTTTTGATCGGTTATTGATTATAGATCATGGGCTGTGTTTGTGTTGCAGTACTCGGAGCTGGAGTTGGCCATCAACACGTTGGTCACAGAGTTTCACAAAGCTGCCGATAACGGACCGACCTTGAACACAACCCAGTTCCAGACGTTGGTCTCCAAACAGATGCCTGCCATCTCCAAGGTACTGATGACATCACAGCTGACGGTCCAATCACAGCCAGCTCCGCTGCCTCGGACACGTTCAGACACGCCTCTTCTCTGTAGCGTCACTTCCATCAGTTTTTATTTGTTTTATTGTGAACTCGTGTCCATGTCCAGCTGCCAGCAGGGGCGCCGCTGGTAACAGACTCCAGACAAACAGGAGGTCCGTTCCCAGTGGTTCTGATGGTTCCTCCTTCTGGCTCAGAGGGTCGGATCTGTCAGAGAGTTTTGTGTCTGAGCTCATGTTCTCTGAGCGGTCCCAGCCGCGAGCGTCCGACTGACTCTCTGCTTCCTGTCTGCAGACGGTGGAGAACGAGGAGGGCCTGGGTCAGGTCCTGCAGCACATGGAGGTCCAGAATGGGCAGAACATCTCCTTCCAGAACTTCTGGAAGCTCATCGACAAGCAGGCCGGACAGCTGTTCAACGCCTTGCCCAAAGACAAGGGCATCAAGTGCACCTGCCAGCTGCAGTGACACCTGGAGACACACCTGGAGACACACCTGGAGACACATCTGGAGACACACCTGGAGACACACCTGGAGACACACCAGAGCCTGGAAATGCCCCAAGTGAAACCAGTTAGGGGCACCACATGAAGACAAAAACCTTCAGCTGGTTTTTCTTCCAGGTCGTCTGACAATATGGAAGACTAATGACGACTTATTGATAAAAAATTAAAACTGATTTAAAAAGGGAACAAACCAAAACTGAGAAATATAAACATGGCCTTAAATCAAACATATGAATTTAATTTCCTGAACTAAAACATTTGTTTTAATAAACAAACAAACAAAAATATATATAACATAAAAAAGACACCTTATAATTTAAGGATTATCTCGAGAACTTTATTAAAATTCACCAGAAAATAATTTTAATGTCATAAACACAAGAAATAAAACTAAAGACATTTGATTCAGTTTTCTGCATGAACGGAAAAACAACGGCAAATTCTAAAGTAAAAGATCTAAATTTAATTTAAAAATGCAATCTCTGCATTTCTAAAAAATGTTATTTGTGAGAGGTTTTTAAAGCATGAATGAAATATTTGTATTTTATTTAAATTTTAATGAATGAATTCTCAGTTGTTTGATGTGTCATTAAATCCTCTTCGGTCTTCCGTACTCGACTAAAAAAAACAGTTCAGTTTTTAATAAAATCAAAACATTTATAAAAAAATATATATTCTCCTTCTAAAACATAAAAACACGAATTTTGTTTTTAATCAATAATAAACGTGTTTTTAATGTAATCCTGGATTTATAGAAGTTTAGCCACAAACCTTGTTTACACTTATTCATCTCATAAACAATTTGTTGTTTTGATACTAACCTTTGACCTTTTGTATGTTTTCTGTGTTTATTTTAATAAAACTGTTTCTGGTTTTTATATAACAAACCAAAAAACATGTTTGAATGATTTATTTAAAAATGATTCCAGTTTGATTCATGACACAAACGTGTTGTGTAAAAATATTATTTACTGAAATGGGTTGATGTTTTTTAAAGAGACGTCTGTTGGAGAAATATATTTTATATTCATCTTTCAGTGACGGCACAGTCTTAACCACGTCTGACATTTCTAATGATCTAAAGTCATATTTTATTTTTAATTTATGACGTCCATGTGCAGCTTAAATCAAAATTACACAAACTTCAGCTTCAAGGCAGAATTTATGTTCGGTTTATTGATAAATCAAAAACAGCAGTATTACTTTATCGTTCACATTATTTAGGTAGATTAGCATTAGTTTTTAATAAATCAGAATATGTTCTCATGTACAGAGTTCAAAAAGTTTAAATATCGTTTTAGTTCCCATATGATCAAATATCACTGAGTCAGTTCGATTCAGTTTATTTCTGTAGCTCCAAGTCACAACAGAATCGTCTCAGGACGCTGAACAAACATTCACATATGAAAATAATAATTTAACGTTATTTATCTGAGGAGCAGCTGTTTGGAGTTTAACTCCATCACACGGTTAAATAGTTGCTGAAACAAAACAAGTAAACTAAAGTGACGCATGAGAAGAAAACACCTGAGAACTTCTACCCTCAGATCAACGCGACCACAAGGCTTCCCTCCTGGTCCTTGACCCGAGGGCAGCAGCAGGGCTAAGCAGTCAGCTGCTGTTGAACCGTGTCACACTCATGGCAGACAGCAGGAGGCGCTGCGTCCTCCTCTCTGTGGAAGACTTTCCCATCAGGCTGCGTCTGCCACCTGAGCCTCACCTCCTCTGAGGTCGCTTGCTGCTCCAGCTCCTGCTTCAGCTGAAAAACAGTTTCAGATCGAGGACAGGAGTTTGTTATCGATCACTGTGATCGAAGGAAGACGCTTTATTCTGACTTAGCTGCAGTGACGCATTTCTGACCAGCAGGGGGCAGAAAACAAAACTGTGTCGCTGCAGTTCCACACATGTCCACTAGATGGTGCCGGACTGAGCCATAGAGTCAAATAAAGAGTTAAATAAAGAGAGAAACAAGAGTAAAATAAATAAATTTAAATAGTTAACTAAGATTAAGAGTTAAATATAGAGTTAAATACAAGTTCAATAAAGAATTAAATAAAAGTTAAACAAAGAGTTAACTCAGACTTTTTCTGAACCACTTTGGCCTTGGTTGTCCACAGGCTCTTTCTGTGAGTAGCAAGTTGGTCTTCTGGCCTAAAACATCTGATTGTTGTTGATGATGATCGATGGTTTCAGATGGGCGTGCTCTGCACGCGTTAAAGTCTACTTCTGAGATTAAACGTGTTAAAAATCTACGTCTGAGATTAAACGCGTTAAGTCTACGTCTGAGATTAAACGTGTTCAAAGTCTACTTCTGAGATTAAACGTGTTAAAAGTCTCCTTCTGAGATTAAACGTGTTAAAAGTCTACTTTTAAGATTAAACGCGTTAAAAGTCTACGTCTGAGATTAAACGCGTTAAAGTCTACGTCTGAGATGAAACGTGTTAAAAGTCTACGTCTGAGAT